CGCTCTGACCTCCAGCTGGACCTCCACCAGTTTCTGTTCCGCGCGAGGACGGACGTGATCCCGAGCAGCTGTACCTTCCTCCCGCGACGGTCGCAGCCCTCTCGAGGGACATGAGGTCACATGTCCCGGCTCTGTCCCTGGGACGAGGAGGCCCGGAATCAGGTACACCCCGCTCATCCACCTGCAGCGGACGTGCTGGCGACTGCAGTCCATGGAGACGAACGGCGACGACTCCAGAGTCCGAGTCCCTCCGTCCGTCCGTCCACGCGAGACCTCGGTGGATGGATGGATGGATGGTAGCTGGGTCTTCATTGCCGGATCTAGAGCCACCAGTCGACGGACGTGTGCGGAGTAGGCGGATCGCCCTGTCAGCCCTCGACAGAGGCCCGGTCCCCATTCCTACATGGCCATCGTATAATACAGTGGTGTACTTTTGCGGCCACGAGGGCGGGCTCGAGGTCCCGATACTGTATAGAGTATATATGAGGAGAGAGAGAGAGGGAGAGAGAGAGAGGGAGAGAAAGTGGATAAGGTTTACAGTCAGCCTTTGGCCACGATGGAAGGTCAGACGGAAAGCGGGCAGAAGACACGGTGGGCCAATACAGGCCGGCTGCCCTCCATGATCCGGAGGTCCGCGCCAGTGGCATGCCAGCTTGGGTCGAGCTGATTGGGCGGGCAGGGCAGGGCAGGGCAGGGTAGGGCAGGGCAGGGGGCAGGGTTTAGGAGGGGAAGGAAGAAGAAATAACGGCGTAAAACATGAAGAATGTTGGGGAGGCTCGCGGCCCTTCAATGGAGGCCGAACCACTCACTACCAAGAAGAGTGGATCACGACTTTACGAGTAATGACGAGACTGCAAAACAGCAGCAACAGAATATATCTACACAATATGAACAAAAATGCTCTTGCCTCCACGACACTCGACACATGTCCTTCCGTGAACGCCCTCCCCTCGATCTCAAGCGCATCCACTCGTCTGCGACTCGCCCTCCTCTCTTATTCTATGCCCGAAATGTGTGTGGTCGTGTCCTGCCCTGCCCCCCGGATTTCCTTCTCGCCTCTTCCTGCAGCTGTTGTTGCAGCAGCTCGTCTTCTTTTCCTTTCCTTTCCTTTCCTTTCCCTTTCCCTCCCCGCTTTGCAGAAAGAAGCAGCGAAAAGCAATCTTTCAGCGAAAGCAGGAAAAACTGCCCTCCCGGTCTCGAATCGACGACCAGAATCTGTAGGACATGACCGACGCCAGCAGCGTCCGTGGGCCTCGAGGTCTCTCTCCATCTCTCTCTCTGTCTCTCGTCAACACTTCCACAGTGGCGACTGACTGACTGACTGACTACTTTAAGCGTTCGTCGCATTGGCAAACATGCATCCTCCTCCTCCTCTGCTGCTGCTTGATATTTTCCCCGTCCAACCCCATGGCCTGCAAAATTGTGTAAATTATTCCGCTCGGGCCATGGTCCTCGTACTCACGGACGGCATGAGCTTGCTGCCGCTGCGACGTCTTCATCGGCAAAAGAGATCGAGGCGTCGAGTATATAAAATAGCAGCAGTAGCAGCAGCAGCAGCCTCGGAAGTACAAGAGATCGTTCCGAGCCTTTTGTATCCGTGGGAGGGCGAGGGACAGTTATCGATCTATTTTTATCTGATCGTCAGACAACTAGCATCTGTTGACAAGACAACGCGACTTTCTGCGCAGCTTGAATCTCTCCCATTAAATTTAGCAACCTTTCGTTTCCAATTTTGCGTGAATATCAATAATATGAAGTGGATCAGGTCAACTCGAAGCAGGGCATGTCGGCCATCGAGACATGATCATCGACGGCCCGTTTCACCGTCACCCTTTGTCGCCGTGCTCGGCCAGTCCTCTCTGGGCATGTATTGTACTACTTACTACTTCTACTGCTCTCGTGGGTTCTGGCTCCTCGCTCTGGCGTGGCCTTCAAGTCATTCTCGCAACTTGTGTATCCTCTCGCTCTTAATTCCATACATTTATTCATCGACTGGCGTCAGTTTCCACTCACGACCAGGTGCTTCCCAACGCGCACATTGCTGAAGGAAGTTGATGGGCGACATCTCCTTCTCTCCCAATGTTGGATCTCGGTCTTCAGTTACCTCCTCAGTTGTGACTTGCACTTTCCTTGATCTTTAACCTGCTGGCGGGTCTACACTTTCCACTTACATGTAACGCAAGCTGATTATGATCCTTCTGTGATTCCTACCTGGACTAAAACATCCCATACCAGACCCCACCCCTTTCCTCAGCTGTAGAGATTTTGAAGTGTGGTTACAGTACTTCCAGTTGGAGAGAGGTTCTTACCTTGTGATGGTTAATCTTCTCCCCTAGTGCAATCAATGAGGTTGGGCCTGACCTCATTTCATGACTTGGGAGCATCGAGAGCCGTGAGTTGCTAGATTCCGAATCGAGGTTCCAAGCTCCAACCGAACCCAAGTGGACTGCAATTCACCAGGTCCCAGTTGCACATGCACCGAGTACCCTTGACTCAAACCGTGTGGGATCGATCATGTGCGTGCCACACTTGCATCCGACTCTCGATTGCTCCCTACGGTATGGTGCTTCTATGTTCCGATCAAATTTTGGTCGGAGACATCGACTTATGACTGCAGAGTTTACCACTAAGAGATCTCAATGGGGGGATAGAGTTCATGTCCTGGGAGGTGGTCGGCAAGTGCACCCGTTCAAACCTGCGACCTGTCTTTTCCCCACGGGAGCACAAGGTGTGGAAATAAATCGCTGAAAAAGTGCAATCATCAGCGGCCCATAGTTTGTTGTTTCCTCCACCGACCAAAGCTCGATATCTCGACGTGGTGACGGTCGGGATGTAAAACTCGTGCCTTCTCATGAGAAACGCAGGACATCCTTAGAATCGAGCGAAGAATCTCGGATACCACACGAGCTTCAACTTGAGCGCCCGAGACCTTTGTTAGAAAGAAAGAGATTTCGCACCGACCACGTTCGGGACCTCGACCTGTCGAAAGTTTGCGATCTTGCCTTTGCTCCGAGGCTCAAGCCTCGGAGAACTTGACTTCCAAGTTCTGCAAGCTCTAAGAGATTTTCCTCCTCGATGACCGATCGCTAAACGAGGAATAAATGCACGCGGGTCGTAGGCTCGTAGATCGCACACTAGAGCAATACAATACAGTAGAGAGTGAGAGAATGGAAGCTTTAGAGGCACGAACGAGGGAGCAAGTGGAAAGATGGAATTACTGCACAACTGTTTCCTTTTAGGGTCACCTTTCGTAAGACGAGCGCACGAAATGTACACGAGATACGACAAGGAGGGGAGCGCTTAGGCCACGAATGAGACATGTCCTGTACGGGAAGCGACAGTCGGTCATCGCTGTGCGGCCCCAAGCATGTCAGATCACGTTAACGACAAGTCCAACAACTTTCTCCGGATCAGAAAAGCTGCTGCGCGAGACCTTCTCCTTTCGTAGAGCGCAGCGGGAAGCATCTCCCAATCTTGGACCGGTCTGTTCCCACAGTTGTTGCCGGCAGGCAGGATTATCCATTGCTGGATTGATTCATCATTGAAAACACTGAAGGCTTTATTTCTACTACTTCTACTGCTGCTGCTGCTATCGTCGTCCGTGGGATGCGATGCACCCAATCCACTCGTGGTTCTGTTCCGTGGCTTCCCCTGCCACTGAAGCTCTCCCTCCTCCTTCCACGGCAGTTTCTGCCACGGGCCTGGGGGCGTCGATGTTGGAGGCAGGCTCTGTGTGAGTGAGTGAGGATCGATGGACGACGAAAGGATAAGTCGGAGGGGGAGGGCGCACATCGACGACGACGCCACCTGCTCGCTCTCCGACTCGAATGAACTTTTCGGCTCGCCCCATTTTAATATTGAGAAATGCTCTGGCGGAATCTGGATCGTCATAATGGCGGTCGTATTCGATCGCATTCGATCACGGACCTGCAAGAGTCTGGGAACATAGCGCACAAACAAGTGGGTCTGCAACGACGAACGCGATTCGCTCAGCACATCTGCAAGTGCTGCGCTCCCAGAACCTCCGTCTCCCTCATCTCGTTTCGGACTGTGCTTGGAAGTTGGCACAACCATACACCAATCTCGAGGTTGGAGATGGCGGAGGGACGGTAAGTTGTGGTAAGCACAGGGTGATGATTCGTACAAAGTTTCGCTCCGCGAGCCCATGGAATTCACATATTTTGAGACCGAGGTCTGCCCGGAGCAAGGGGAGGTGGGGCCTGAAAGTCGTTTCTGCCATGATGGAACAACCTCACACATACAACATAGATGGTGACGATCGACCATTCATGCTCGAAAAGTAAGCCTTCCTTATCCTTCCCTAATCCGTCACCTTGTCGTCGACTCTGACTGCTCTTTGCGATGGGAAAGGCGTACGGAATTCTCCTCCCCCGTGTTGACGAAGCCTACTCCTCCCCGGCGCTTGTGGATTGTGATTCGCCCTACCATGTACCTACGCTTCGCTCCCTCGGCGAGTATAGCTCCGTACTCTGCTCGAGTCATGTCGGAGTGTGAGTTCTTCCCCAAGGCTCGGGGTCGGTGCATGGATTCAACACTGGGTTTGTCTTCTTCCTCCCCGCTTTCCGACTTCACGCAATTCCTGATGAGTTACATCATCATTCCATCTGGTGACTGTCGGTCACCCCTGCGTGCAGGCCGCACAGAGGATGATTGTGGCGTTGCGTTCACTGCTGCCTTAGATCGCTGGATAATCTCATACGATCCGCACGATTAGCCACATACTTCTCATGGAGGGCCTAGACTTCGGTTCCGCTGTACTGGTGTACTGGACGTTAGTTGACCCCCGACCATTGGAAGACTTCGGGGGAAGAGATTCTCTCCTTCGTTCTTAATAGTGGAACTTGAGTAGAGTAAAATACAAGAGATCTTTCATATTTCGGGGTCAACCGGACTTTTAAGTTCCAGTGTGACCTTCAACCATGGGCTTAGCAAAAGAAAGCGTACAACTTTCATGTCCAAGCCTGGCTCTACTCATTTAACAGAGGCAGAAGTCAAGGAAAACACAGTTTTAGATTAGTAATGAACTTGTGCGGACACGCATTTCAGCATCAACCGTGACCATGTCAAACATGTCCAATGGGGTCTAGAACATTCGAGTAATCCACAATGAGCAAATCGCGTAACATTTGAAGAACCTCTCGAGTCCCAAGGGCACATTCATGGCGTAGAAACTGGGATCACCGAAGCATGTACCAATTACATCCGTCCTACAACTTCTGAAGATATGAGTCCAGACACCTACGAGCTTCGTCCGCGTTGGGGCCAGTCTGTTCTAGAGATATAATTGTGTGCTTTTCATAGAGCTAGAAGCTCGGCTTTCAAGATCAGCAACCTTCTCGGTTTGTCCTCGAGTCCCAGTGAAACCTAAGCCCTAGTCCTGGACATCCAACGAAATGGATCTGTTAGTCTCAGACCAAAATTTCCCCGGGGTTATAACAATTTCGCGATAACCCTGTTAGTCATCTCATCCCTTCTTCTCCTACTTCAACCCGTCAATGACAGCCATCTTAAACGACAAAACCAACAATTTATCCAGAGGTCGTAGATGGAACCCCGTGATCTTGACTGCATCTCTGTAGGATTTCCGTTCTATTTGTCTCATCAGACACGATTAGTTTAAATCAAATGCCTACTTCACAAGTATGAGGGCAGATGAATGCCTTGCCTGATGGATAAAACATCTCTGCGTTGTCCAGATGACACTGAGCCCTCTGAGTCCAGTCCAGGAGAACGTGCGCGCGAACAACTCCACAATGCATGGCCAGTAAAACTTCCACCATGGAACGCCAGTCGATCGGACCAGGGCACTGTCCACTGCTCCATCAGGAACTCATGGTATGGCAATTGAAGTCGTTGCGCAACAAAGCAACAGCACACCGACTGATGGCCATTAATCGTGAACATGTGGTAACATACTTACAATGGAGTCGGACAGGGAGGGAAAGAACGTATCTCCTGTCAGGGGTACAACTAGTCTTAACATCCTTGCCGGTACATGTCGAGAAAACACCAGCGTTCTCGATTGAGATCATCAAGTGTCAGACATGATCCAACCTGCTCGGCTGTACCCACATGATAACGTCTACACAGAAGAGAAATGATCGAGTAAAACTAACAAAATGAAGGTGGTCTTTTCTCCGGTACTTGACGATTTGTTGGACCACTTCCACTTCATCACAGTCTGCAGACCCGTGACAGAGGCTTGTAAATTGACGGCCGTGTAAATTTCCCCGGGAATATTGGGATTCATTTACTTGTGCAGACATGATTCTCTCCTTGGCCATACCCATATCACTTCTTCCACCTTCCCTGAGACCCATCATTATAAAACAACAAGAATTTTTCGGTAGAATTCAATCATCTATCTGTCAGCTTGCGCTTCTTCTTCAGTTTCCTCAGCCTCTCTTGTTTCTCTTCTTCTTCTATTAAAGCCAACTCCCGCTCGTCTTCCAACCTCGCCTCTCGAGCACTGCATCATCAGAAAGACTCCAGTGAATACAGGACCATTCATACTTCTTGTTTCCCCAGCATCAAACCTTATCGAAGCATAAAGAAACGGAAGGCCAAGATGAGCAGCCACAAATGTTACTTATGGTGGTAGGAGAATGAACAAAAATCCTACGGTCTGTGGTCTACGGAATCACAGGTATAAACAGAAACCCACCTTTTCCGCTCTTCCGCTTGAATAGTTCGAAACCCGACCTCCATCGCACGGTCATCTAGATCATCTTCTCCACGATACTTACTTGGATCATACCTGATGACACAAAGACAACAGCATGAAAATTGCAATATCAACAATTCTGCTCTTCCGAATTATGGGATACTACACAACACAACCAACTAGGCTGCACGAGGAAAACATTAACTAGTAAGCCGAGTTCAATAGGGAATGATCCTCAACACAAAAAAAAGTCTTTAGTCTTGAGATCACCACCCTGGTGTATGGTAAAGTTCATATTGAATTCTGTGATTTACCACATGCAAGCATGCTCGTCTATGAGAGAAACTCAGCTGTGAGGAAACGCATGTTTCTTTTCTCAAGACTGGGGATGTTCATGGCACAAAAATAACTCTGTGAAGATCGCTACTCTAGCATGATCATAACACGACTATAGCCTCACAAATTGGGATGTGCTGCAAAGAACAGACTGATTTGCGGCAGTGGTCATCATCTCACCATTCCTCGCCCGTCTCACAGAGATTAAGGTAATGATTTTCATACTTGCTATAAACGAAAGCAAAACCCTCCAAAACAGTAAGTTCAAAATAAACATATTAATCTTTAAGCCACCTGAAGCGCGTTCAAATATTGTGACATGCAGAGGTGGAGAACAACTGTAGGCTCTAAAAGATCCAACGCGGGCCACTTGAGAGAATTACCGGAACATTTTCCGAATCATGTTTGAAACTTGCGTCTGATCCTCGTCATCGTCGATGAATGAATCGTCGTCATCCTCCTCCTCTTCCTCCTCCTCGTACATGTCTCGTCTCCTGTTAATGTTGTTAAACTTCTTACGAGGACGCTCATCTGATTCTTCGCTAGGGCTGCGAGCTCTCCTACGATTAACATCAACTTTCTTGCGCGGCCGCTCATCTGATTCTTCACTTGGACTACGTGCTCGCCTGCGTCCTACTTCATCACGTCGAGCTTCATCTCGTCGCGGATCTCGTCGCGCCTCGTCCCTACGCGGATCTCGTCGAGCATCATCGGCATATTTCGGCTTGTGACCAGCAGGAACTGGTCTAGCGGCAGGCTTTGCGGCGGGCCTTGACAGCAAGCTCTGAGGCAATAAACACAAGTTCAGTACTTATGATTCAAGTGCCAATTTAGAAGACTTCACGTGAATTTTGAAGAAAGGCCGCAACATTGCGCCATGGAAGCATAGTGCAGGCTGCACAAAATAAATTACTTTCATTCCGTTGTTAAATCAAATGCACGATTTGCTTGAAGATAGGCATATGACATAAACGACATGCGCCTTCTCAAAGGTTGTACTCGGAACTTTCGAATTAGATATAAGCGATAACTTAGACCTCTAGAACAAAAACCACTCATTTCCTTCCAAGGGAAGATATAATGTAACGAGAAGAATAATGATAATAACCAGAAGGACACCGACAAAGATGCGTCTTCTTAAAGGTTGTGCTCGCATATTTCCGATTGGATTTAAGCGATAAAGTTAGACCTCTAAGATAGAACAGAATCCACAGCAAAGACCACGCACTCATCTCCTTTAAAGGGTAGATATGATGTAACGAGAAAACTCCGACAAAAAGCGAACAACTGGACGTCCATTGAGAAACCTCAATCATGCCGGTCTCGTCTTAAAATTTAGAACATTTATATACACCCACCTGCCTTCCGGCTTGAGAGGCCGGCAACTGTCGTCTTGCGTCAGCTCCACCCGGCGACCTACCAGAAGCGCTTGCTTGACTTCCTTTCTTCAAAACTTGTGAAGATCCCGGACGTCTCTCAGATGCTTGTCCCATACTTGCTCGTCTGTCTTTGGACTGTGACAGTCGCCGGTCTGAAGCCTGAGCTGAACTTGAGCTCAGACGTCGATCTGAATCTTTCACAGCTGGTCCACGTCTGTCCGACGAGCTGTGTTTCCCACCATTAGCTGTCGGTGACCCAGCCACAAGTTTCCTCATAGTTGCTTCTTTCCTGGAATCCTCTCTTCTAGGATCTGGGCGGCCTGATCCTGTCGAGTGTGTCTTGCTCGACGACGGCTTTCCTGCACTCGATGGCTTGTGTTTGCTCACGAGAGCTGACCGATCGGTTCGATCAGGAGGGCGACGAGCAGCTTGCCCAGATGCAGACCGAGAAGGTGTTGAGGGTTTCGTTTGCGAAGGTTTCGCTTGAGGCCTGGAAGAAGAGGGCCTGTTGTCACCAGGCCTTGATCCTTGACTACTCTTGACAGGCACAGGTGGTCTTCTAGCTGGTGTACCGCTGGGTGCTGATTTGAGAGACTCACGCCTCACATCAGTTCCTGGCATACAGAATCAGCCACGATTAAACTACTGTTCTTTTCTCACTTCTGATGTGCGTAAATAGAACTAGACATCTTACATATCCAAGGGCATTCCCGCGCTTGATAAACAGAATGCCGTGGTTCTTTTACGATAGTGAGAGAAAAAAACTGATATACCAGGTTTTGCAGACGTAGCAGCCTTTTTCTCTGCTTTCGGAGGCAAGGGAGTATCTTCGAAGAGGAATGCGTAGTCACGAGCCTCTCTCAGTTTCTTAGCTTTAAGTGCAGCCTGCAGTAACAACAAAATGTAAAGAGTTGCAGTGCGTCCAGGAAAATATTATTTTACTGGATAAAAGACACTCATATAATCATATGATGGTTGACATCACTTCAACTGTAACCCAAGAATACTATTTTCATCAACAAGTATATTTTGTCCAGGCCTTTGTATAGATGCAATTACGAGGAAATTGAAAAACAAACACTCAGTAAACACTGACTTCAGAAAGCTGAAGTCAGCACCGATGACCAGCGGTTTTTCATTAATTAAGCAGATGTACTCGTTCGTCTGTCTCTTTCGTTACATCCAGCCCCTTGACTGATCGGTGCTGATACGAAGAGATCGGGACAAAGAGAAAAGGAGATAGACATGAAGAGAAAACAAGAAAAGACTGCTTGAAAGTGAAGTGAGAGTCTCTTATGTAGTGGTATTGTTCCCAGTTTCCCAAAATGTAGTGGTAGTGGTTCATTATTTCAAGATGTCAACCAATCTCATGAATCGAGGATCAAGAATCCTTACTCATACCCGCTTGCACTATATTTGTGCACTAAATTTTTTGAAAAAATATAGTGCAAACGATCAATTACGTGAAGATGGGATTGTAACCATTTCCTCCCGAAGGTCGGAGAGATCACATCCGAAACCCCAAGACTCACGAAAATTCCAAACGCCACAAGATAACCGGAAAAGGAGCAATATGCCTACCTCGTCTATGGGCTTCGGCTTGGGCATTGGCTTCTTGTCCTTACTTGACTTCCCTGCTGCCAGACTAGCTGCATGTTTTTTACGCTCTGCCTGCACACGCGTTGAAGTTCTGTGAGAAATCAAGCAGACAGCCTTATCATGACCATCCCGAAGATGGCCAGTAACTATGCTGAAAAACATGCCAGCAAAGTCTGACGTGCATGACTGACCTCCTTATTGGCCCTAGCTTCTCTGGCTGCCACAATCTCTGCTTCTTGCCGAGCTCGAGCTTCTTCAATGATTCTCTTCGCCACAACAGGTTGTGACGGCCCAAAGAACGAACCAAAGCTGCACCCAAAAATTTCCGTCACAAACAAGTTGTACCAAGAAAAAGCGATCTGCCGGAGCAGAAGAAGCAAACTTACAGCTGTAATAACAGTCACTTCTGTTTCAAGCTAACAAAAAAGGCAAAGACAGTGGTTGGATCAGACTCTTATACTGTATCCTGCACACGTAATATAGCCGGCCTAAACAATTTAGCCTTCGTTTACTGGTAATAGAGGAAGCCCAAGAGCTGGCGATTTTCATACAGCAGACATCTGACGACGAATGTGATAAGAAGTGCCAACCCTGGGTGACAAAAACAGCTCAACTTCCTTCTCACGCAATCAACTACATGAGATGTATACATTTGGAGGAGTAGGAAGAGTACAGCTTCAAAAGCTTTACCTACGATCGTAAGGTAACTTCTTCTTGTCTTTAGAAGAACCAGCTCCGGCATCGGCCTTACTAGAGCTGCCTCCGTTGGCCTTGCTTTGGCTCTTGGATTCCGTCTCCCTATCGCCATTGGCATAAAATCCATTTTTCCCTTTAGTCAGTTTCTGGCGCTCAAGCTCCTTTAGCCTGCTCCGACGATCATGGTAGTCCCTATGACGTTTCCGACTCCCTTCGTCATCATCGTCATTGCCACCCCTGTCATTGTCACGGTCCCGACCTCGGGAATCGACATCATCACCCGAAAGGAGCCGAGAGTAATCCCGATTTTTACGTAGGTACTCCTATATAACCAAACGACTATAGTGTAAGATAAGACAGCTGCAGGCTGCACGATCAAGAACAAACACTAGGGCATGCCGAAAAAAATTATAAAAACCTGGTTAGAACGAACTGCACTGACCTAATTCACATTACCCCTCGGCAAAACCAATTGGAATGTATTCTGTAGATCAGCACGTAAGACGACAGTACGACACAAATCAAGGACCATACAAGCACGTAAGAGGCTTCCATAAAACCTTGGCCACAAAGTCCACACCAAAAGTGCTCATGGGGGTGTAGAGAGAGTGTTCTGCTGAGCGAGATGCATCCCAAGAGCTGACATTACCTAAGTGATAAGAGAAAGGCTCCAACATAAAATATATGAACAATTGCTAGAAAGAAAAATGATTTGATCAACTCACGGTCTTCTCGTCCTTCCACATTTTGAGACGATCTCAGAAACAGGAAGTCCAATTCCTCATCTACACAAAAGTTCACGACCAATTCTCCGCTTTCCTCATCCGGACCGCGTGAGGCGAGAGGGCGTGCACGCAGCGTGCGTTGTCCACTCCATACGATGAAGCAACGAGACCACCTGCTCATCAAAGCTAAACCCTAAGTGCACCATTCTCCACAATTTTGCCACTACAAACACCACCTGGAGTCCGCGAAAGCATTCGGTTACCTCCGCAGCTTCACGACCTCGAGCTACGGTGTGCCCACGCACGAACGATGCCGACGGGGGCACCAGGAACACTGGTCGGCATACAAAGGCCAGCAATCCTCTCCCTCCATAGCTGACACCCAAAGGAGTAGGACACCATGCGCAGGTCGCATAAGAACACTTCTCTCCTCCTCCTCCTCCTCTCCACCTCTTGCATCTCCGCTTGTGGAGGAAGCCCGTCCCGCTATTGGCACTTGGAGACGATCATTTGCGTGCCAAGGAGCCTCTCAGTAGACTAACTTAGCAGCTCCCCTATTATAGTGCTCCACAAGCCTCCGGCGGCTCTTGCAGCTTCCCCCACTTGGAGGGAGCGGCCCATTCCTTCGTTGGAGTTCTCCACCCTCTGCGCTTGCGGCTTTTCTCCTTACCGTAGTCCTTGGTTCGTGTACCTACCGCGAGAAGCCGTTCTCAGCGGAAGAGCGAAGGAGCTCCTCTCAGAGAATCTTGTGCATTACAAATAGAACTTATCCTGTACATTTTGACTTTTTATGTACAACTTGACTTCTCATGGGGTCTTACTCTGTTTTCGTTACTTTACTTTGTACCACTTTTTAGGGTTAGTTCCTCCATGAAGAAGTTGTGCACAGCAATGTCTCCATCCAAACAAAAGAACTATCTACACACGTAATGGTCGTTTTCAGTACCGTTATAAACGTCAGGGATACTACTTCTGTGTTGGAGGGGTTACTTAAACCCTCAAAAGTACTTTGATCACGATATTTAGTGTCTTCATCATCCGTTCACTCATGAACTAGATTGTCGTTATCTACTATGATTGCAGACATGAGTTACGATAGAAAGCTTGTAAACCAGTCTCCCGAAACAAGTTTCCTTACTTTTCTTCTCTATTCGCAATCTGATTGTTTTTATGATTATGTTCGTGCTCAATATTTTTCAATTTATAATTTTATGATAGTACTTACAAGGTAAAAAAATCACTTATAATTGTCGTAAATTAATGTTGTGATATGGTCTAAAAAGTTGTTATCATTTTACACTACCATAGTATATGTATAGTATTAAACATATTGTGATATAAAAACAAAATAGAAACACAAAGTGCTATCCAAATTTAATTTCAAGGAAGACAGGATTTATTTGAGCTAAATAAATTATTAATAATATATTGAAAATTATATCCTAATATCAATTTTTTCGGAATAACTAATCAAGCAGTTGAAAATCAATTACTTGAATTTGTTTGAAGACACATTATTAACTATATCAAGTTCATTACCACAATTTAGTTTATAAGAATAACATGAAAAGATCATATTTTGATTTTTGAAGCTTAATTTGGATCTGATATGTTTATACATTAAGCAGAGAATTGATCAATTGCATGGTGTAAAGATAAATTTATAACAAAAGAATTTGAAAGAAAATATTAAGTAGTTGATGTGAGTGCATATATATTACTTAGGTATACCATGCAATTGATCAATTCTTTAAATAAATTTATTTATTTATTCATTCATTTTTTAGCAATAACCATAAAATAGCAATTGTCATGAAAAAAATGCAAATTTTCTTAATTATATACTTAATTGTTAACGATTCATGAATACATAAATAAATTATTTTATCATGCAGTTGGGATTTGAATCACATATGAAGATTAATATATAAAGAAACTATAAAATCAGATAATTTATCACATTATAGAAATAAATAAATGATATATCATTTTGTATATATTTCTTCTTTTTAATATATTAAATTTTCGTCATTTTTAAATTTGACACATTTAAAAATATAATTCAAAATTTTATCTATTTTCTTATATTATATGCAAATATAATAATAATAATAATAATTTATATCCGTTTTATAGAAACATTCATCAATTTATATATTTAGCTTAAATATTATCTTGATACATATGCTGCTAAGTTGAGTTATTTACAAAGAAATGAAATAACTGGCTACTTGCTTTTTGGTGGATAATTGTATAAAAAATAAGATACAAATAAATCACTTGTAATTTTTACTTTATCAACATAAATTCTTGAACTCAATTTCTTTCTTATTGCTTTAATTAAAATCTAAATGTAAAGAATATCATGTTACAGAAATTTAGATTTAACAATTGTAAGAAAATTTTGATCAATTTGATATTATATTTCGTACTCTATATATAATTGCATGTGTCAAAAAATGTAATCTTGAATATAAATTAATCTAAATGCTATTTATAAAACCTAAGATCATTGCAAGTGAAAAATTGAAATATTTTCAAATATCATGTTCAATGATCTAGTATTTTCTTTTTAACAAAATAAATCTATGAAATTTTTCTTTTCTTTTCTTGTTTGTGTAATGTATGCAATAATATAAAATCTCACTTTTATATCTTAAATAGATGAAACAATTTATGCTGAAAATATTATATAATAAATTATTATCAATCAAATGTAAATTTAACTTAAGTGAAAGTACACAATAGAATTGATGAAAAAAAACTTAATGGTTCATTCTAACAATAAAACTTGAGATCACAATGAACAAACCAACAATACAAGAAAAACATGTATAACCTGATTCACCTTTAAGTACTACGTCCACAGAGTGATACACTTGAGAGAATCTACTAATTCATGTGAAAAATAACAACAATGCTTGCAGCACAGAAGCATGAGTATTATATATACCCGACATATGTAACCAATATCAATTATAAATAGCTACACATGACGTTATTCATTAACCAAAATTAACCTTAACAATATACTCTTTAATTCGCGTTGAGTAGTTTCAGTAATCTCTCAAACCTATATTATTATTTTGCGAAAAATTCTAAACGTAAACCTAAAACAAGGTACTATTTAAACGAGAATTAATTAGAGTTAAACCATCGCCCTAACATGATAAAGTAATAATATATAGAGGTAACACAACAATCTCCCTCTTAACTCATGTTAAGTAATCTGAGTTAACTCTCTAATCTGTAATATTATTCTGCGGTAAGTTTTAGATGTAAACCTAACACAAGTAACTCTTTAAACAAGAATTAAGTAGAACTAAACCATAATCATTATATAACAGAGGAATAATATATAGAGTTAACTAAAAATCATATCTTTCGTGCTCCATATGTACAACTTGCATAGTAGCACAGTGTTGCCTAAGACTCTTCAAAGCAATAATTTTGGTCAACGCATTACATGGATTGAGTTTTTACCGTCAATCTTGACTAGCTTAATTGTTTTCTCAAACATTGCTTGTCCAATAAAGTGATACATGATGTTAATGTGTTTCACTTTGCTATCCATGACTTGGTTTGCAATCAAATGTAAAGCACTCTGGCTATCACAATGAAGATTGACCAAACCCTAAACAATCTCATCTTCATGATAAGACTATTCAACCAAATAGCTTACTTTGCCGCTTCGGCTGCTTCCACATACTCAACTTCCGTTGTTGATTGAGCTACGCACTTCTGCAAGGTAGATTATCAAATAAGTCTCCACCGCCAAGTGTAAACACATATCTAGTTATATATCTTCTTTTGTCTAAATCTTGTACGTAGTCAACATCAAAGTAACCAAACAATGACTAGACATTGTTTAATAATAATAATAATAAACTTCAAACAATAAGCCATAATTCACCGTACTTTTCATATATCTCAAAATTCATTTCACTACTTTCCAGTGAATTTTTTCTAGATTCGACATGTACTTGCTCACCTTCTCCATTGCTAGAGCAATATTAGACCTAGTGCACGTCATTCAATACATGATGTTGCTTACGGTTTGTTCAGAGGCAACACATGACATTCTTACTTTCTTCACAACATCCGTAGTACATTGAGCTCCAGATAGTTTTAAATGTGATGGTAGAATAATCCACACTACTTTTGAATCGGCCGTGTGGAAATTGTCAAGTATACTACAAACATATTTGCCCTGAATCAACCATAACTTTTTCTGTTCAAAATTTCTATAAATATCCATGCATAATATACTCTTTGATTCATCCATATCCTTCATCTTAAATGAAGACTTCAGGTGACTCTTGCATTCATCAACATCGAATTGGTTCTTTGTCAAGATAAATATGTCGTCAACGTAAAGTACCAAAATAATGAGATTGAACGATTCATCATTCAACTTTTTCATGTAAACACAAGAATCATACACGCTTTGTAGAAAACCTTGTGCTTTCATAAACTCATCAAATTGTGTATTCCACTAGCTAGACGGTTGTTTCCGTCCATACAGTGATTTCAACAATCTACAAATCACACTCTTTTAGCCTTTGACCTCAAAGCTAATTAGTTGTCTCATGTAGACTGCTCTAAATATCCATAAAAAATGCTGTAACCACATTCATCTAGTCCAAAACAAGACTAAATATTGCGACTAGTGCACATATGAGACAAATTGTAGCATACTTTGCTACAAGCAAAAAATAATTGTTGTAATTCACATAATTCTTTTGTGTAAAACTGTAACACTAGGGTTTAGAGAGAATTTCACTCGAAGATAGAAACGTAAACTCTGAAGATGAGAGATACCAACAATGGTTCTCCTCTCCCTTATATAGCTCTCACCAACAAGTACAAGGTGATAAGATCTAATCCCCACCATCCATACCACTCCTAGTGGATGGATGACGTGGCGGATAACCCTAACAAGCACACGGATCGCTGACGTGGCGCACCCAACTAACACACTAACTAACACACTCAATCCTTACCTACAAGCACACGGATTGCTGACGTGGCACTGTCAACTAACACATCCACTCTGTACCTACCAAGTGCGCGGATCGCTGACGTGGCAGCTATGACTAGTGCACACTAAAGTATCTACATCAATATTCAGAGTAACCTCTACTTTAGTTCTAACTAACTAAAGATGGTTACAAACCTCCCTCCTTTTAAGATGCAACGTCCTCGTTGCACATACGTTCAAACTCCTGAACTATCAAAGGTGCATTTGCTAAATTTTTAGCTGGTTCCCAAGTTGATTCATACGATGGATAGCCTTTCCATTGAATCAAATACTCTACTTTGGGATATTTATGACCTCGAATACGTTTCTTGAGTATCTTTTCTACCTCAAACTCCTCATGATCTGCTATCAAGGTTGGAAGAGGAGGTGGTGCTGGTTGATTGGTGAATTGTTTTGGTCGTGGTACATGTTTTCGCAATCGTGACACATGAAATACTGGATGTATTTTCATATGTGACGGAAGTTCCAACTTGTATGACACTTCACCAACACGCTTCAAAACCAAAAATGGACCAATGTACCTAGGGTTTAACTTTG